CACACACACACAGAACATGTGAGCCGGACACACACACAGAACATGTGAGCCGGGGACACACACACACAGAGAACATGTGAGCCGGGGACACCCACACATAGAACATGTGAGCCTGACACACACACACACAGAACATGTGAGCCTGACACACACACACAGAACATGTGAGACACACACACACACACCATGTGAGCCACACACACACACACACAGAACATGTGAGCCAGACACACACACACACACAGAACATGTGAGCCGGACACACACACACACAGAACATGTGAGCAGGACGGACACACACACAGAACATGTGAGCCAGACACACACACACAGAACATGTGAGCCAGACACACACACACACACACAGAACATGTGAGTCGGACACACACACAGAACATGTGAGCCAGACACACACACACACAGAACATGTGAGCAGGACACACACACAGAGAACATGTGAGCAGGACACACACACACAGAACATGTGAGCAGGACACACACACATAGTACATGTGAGCCGGACACACACACACACAGAACATGTGAGCAGGACACACACACACACAGAACATGTGAGCAGGACACACACACACACAGAACATGTGACACACACACACACAGGACACACACACACACAGAACATGTGAGCAGGACACACACACACACAGAACATGTGAGCCGGACACACACACACAGAACATGTGAGCAGGACACACACACACACACAGAACATGTGAGCAGGACACACACACACACACACACAGAACATGTGAGCAGGACACACACACACACAGAACATGTGAGCAGACACACACACACACACACAGAACATGTGAGCGGACACACACACACACACACAGAACATGTAGTGTCACTTTGGGATCCCACCTGTCATTTGTGGGCATGCGGTTATTTTCGGCTGCTCTTTCGTGGGCCGCCCCTCCGCCTGCACTGGGTGCCGTGTGTGTGTGTGTGTGTGTGCGTGTGTCAGGCGATCAGACGGTTGTACAGAGAGGGGGGAAAGCTGCAGCAAGGTAAGTGCCAATCCCCGAAAACCTGCCAATAGGTGCCGGCCATAGACAATGCGGAGGAATCGGGGCACCGGAGGGGCAGCCCCCCCTTTTTATAATGTCCGTTTGTCCTGATATGGATCAGGAATGTTGGATAAGTATGAAGATCTCCCGGGATTGTACACATCGGGCAATCACAACACGCATTCCCGTGTGTGTGCTTAAAGGGGACCTCCGGCTCCAGCTGATATATTCCTGGGCAAGTCGCAGACTTCATCACATTCAATCATCGCTATTATATTTTTAGCTATATTGTGTTTCCTGCGTCTGTGTACTGCGTCTGTGCACTGCGTCTGTGTTCCTGCGTCTGCGTTCCTGCGTCTGCGTTCCTGCATCTGCGTTCCTGTGTCTGTGCACTGTGTCTGTGTTCCTGCGTCTGTGTTCCTGCGTCTGTGTTCCTGCGTCTGTGTCCTGCGTCTGTGTTCCTGCGTCTGTGCACTGTGTCTGTGTTCCTGCGTCTGTGTTCCTGCGTCTGTGTCCTTCCTGCGTCTGTGTACTGCGTCTGCGTTCCTGCGTCTGTATTCCTGCGCCTGCGTTCCTGCGTCTGTGTTCCTGCATCTGTGTTCCTGCGTCTGTGCACTGCGTCTGTGTTCCTGCGTCTGTGCACTGCGTCTGTGTTCCTGCGTCTGTGTCTGTGTGTTCCTGCGTCTGTGTTCTGCATCTGTGTTCCTGCGTTCTGCGTCTGCGTTCCTGCGCGTCTGTCTGTGTTCCTGCGTCTGTGTCTGTCTGTGTTCCTGCGTCTGTGTTCCTGCGTCTGTGTTCCTGCGTCTGTGTACTGCGTCTGTGTTCCCTGCGTCTGTGTTCCTGCGTCTGTGTTCGTCTGCGTCTGCGTGTACTGCGTCTGTGTTCCTGCGTCTGTGTCCTGCATCTGCTGTGTTCCTGCGTCTGTGTTCCTGCGTCTGTGTCCTGCGTCTGTCTGTGTCCTGCGTCTGTGTTCCTGCGTCTGTGTCGTCTGCGTCCTGTGTGTTCCTGCGTCTGTGTTCCTGCGTCTGTGTTCCTGCGTCTGTGTACTGCGTCTGCGTTCCTGCGTCTGTTCCTGCGTCTGTATTCCTGTGCGTTCCTGCGTCTGTGTTCCTGCGTCTGTACTGCGTCGTCTGCGTTCCTGCGTCTGTGCATATTCCTGCGCCTGCACTGCATCTGTGTTCCTGCGTCTGTGTTCCTGCGTCTGTGCGTCTGTGCACTGCGTCTGTGCGTCTGTGTTGCTCTGTGTACTGCGTCTGTGTTCCTGCGTCTGTTCCTGCGTCTGTGTTCCTGCGTCTCTGTATTCCTGCGTCTGTGTCACTGCATCTGTGTTCCTGCGTCTGTTCCTGCGTCTGTGTTCCTGCGTCTGTGTACTGCGTCCTGCGTCTGTGTTACTGCATCTGTGTTCCTGCGTCTGTGTTCCTGCGTCTGTGTTCCTGCGTCTGTGTTCCTGCGTCTCTGCGTCTGTGTACTGCGTCTGTTCCTGCGCGTCTGTGCACTGCGTCTGTGTCCTGCGTCTGCGTCTGTCCTGCGTCTGTGTTCCTGCGTCTGTGTTCCTGCGTCTGTACTGCATCTGTGTTCCTGCGTCTGTGTACTGCGTCTGTGTACTGCGTCTGTGTACTGCATATGTGTTCCTGCGTCTGTGTACTGCGTCTGTGTTCCTGCGTCTGTGTGCGTCTGTTCCTGCGTCTGTGGTTCCTGCGTCTGTGTTCCTGCGTCTGTGTGCGTGCATCTGTGTTCCTGCGCCTGTGCTGTCTGTGTACTGCGTCTGTGCGTCTGTGTTCCTGCGTCTGTGCACTGCGTCTGCGTTCCTCTGTGCACTGCGTCTGCGTTCCTGCGTCTGTGTACTGTCTGTGCGTCTGCGTTCCTGCGTCTGCGTTCCTGCGTCTGTATTCCTGCTGCCTGTGTTCCTGCGTCTGTATTCCTGCGCCTGTGTTCCTGCGTCTGTATTCCTGCGTCTGTGCGCACTGCATCTGTGTTCCTGCGCCTGTGTTCCTGCGTCTGTGCACTGCGTCTGTGTTCCTGCGTTTGTGTACTGCGTCTGCTGCGTTCCTGCGTCTGTGTACTGCGTCTGTGTACTGCGTCTGTGTTCCTGCGTCTGCGTTCCTGCGTCTGAATTCCTGCGCCTGTGTTCCTGCGTTCCTGCGTCTGTGTGTCTGTCCTGCGTCTGTGTACTGCGTCTGTGTCCTGCGTCTGTGTCCTGCGTCTGTGTTCCTGCGTCTGTGTACTGCGTCTGTGTTCCTGCGTCTGCGTCTGCTGCGTCTGCGTCTGTGTCCTGCGTCTGCGTTCCTGCGTCTGTGTACTGCGTCTGTGTTACTGCGTCTGTGTTACTGCGTCTGTGTTCCTGCGTCTGTGTTACTGCGTCTGTGTTCCTGCGTCTGTGCACTGCGTCTGTGCACTGCGTCTGTGTTCCTGCGTCTGTGTTCCTGCGTCTGTGCACTGCGTCTGTGTTCCTGCATCTGTGTTCCTGCGTCTGTGCACTGCGTCTGTGTTCCTGCGTCTGTGCACTGCGTCTGTGTTCCTGTGTGTTCCCTGCGTCTGTGTTCACTGCGTCTGTGTTCCTGCGTCTGTGTTCCTGCGTCTGTCTGTTCACTGCGTCTGTGTTCCTGCGTCTGTGTTCCTGCGTCTGTGCACTGCGTCTGTGTTCCTGCGTCTGTGTTCCTGCGTCTGCGTGTGTTCCTGCGTGTTCCTCTATTCCTGCGTCTGTGTTCCTGTGTTCCTGCGTCTGTGCACTGCGTCTGTGTTCCTGCGTCTCTGTGCACTGCGTCTGTGTTCCTGCGTCTGTGCACTGCGTCTGTGTTCCTGCGTCTGTGTTCCTGCTGTCTGTGCACTGCGTCTGTGTTCCTGCGTCTGTGCACTGCGTCTGTGTTCCTGCGTCTGTGTTCCTGCGTCTGTGTTCCTGCGTCTGTGCACTGCATCTGTGTTCCTGCGTCTATGTTCCTGCGTCTCTATTCCTGCGTCTGTTCAGCTCGTGGAGTACACGTCCGGGAAATGTTCCGGGTTGCCTGTTGCAGAAACGCATTGACTGAGAGCCCCGAGCCGTGTGGGTGGTGCTTCCCCAGGAATGTCTGTCGGAGGAGGAAGATCCGGTGTGACGCTGAATTCTTATCATTTATACTGTATATAGATAGAAAAACTGGAACTTTGTTGTCTTTTGGATATTTAAAGTGTTAAACCCAAAAGAAACATTTATTAACCTTAAGAGTTCCCTTCACTGGAACTAGGAGGCCAAGCCCACCCCCTGAGGAACAACCCCATACCATAATCCCTCCTCCACCAAACTTTACACTTGGCACAGTCAGGCAAGTACCGTTCTCCTGGCCACCACCAAACCCAGACACGTCCATCGGATTGCCAGACAGAGAAGCGTGATTGGTCACTCCAGAGAACATGTCTCCACTGCTCTAGAGTCCAGTGGCGGCGTGCTTTACACCACGGCATCCGACGTTTTGCATTGCACTTGGTGATGGAAGGCTTGGATGCAGCTGCTCGGCCATGGAAACCCATTCCATGAAGCTCTCTACGCACTGTTGTTGGCTCATCTGAAGGCCACACCAAGTTTGGAGGTCTTTAGCCTATTGACTCTGCAGACAGTTGGCGACTTCTGCGCACTGTGCGCTTCAGCATGTGCTGACCCCGCCCTGTCATGTGACGTGGCCTACCACTTGGTGGCTGAGTGGCTGTTGTTCCCAGTGGCTTCCACTTTGTTATAATCCCACTAACAGTTGAGCGTGGAATATTTAGTAGCCAGGAAATGTCACGGATGGACTTATTGCCCAGGTGACCACCTATCACGGGACCACGCTTGGAGTCACTGAGCTCCTGAGAGCGACCCATTCTTTCACCAATGTTTTAGAAGTGCATGCCTAAGCAGTCTGCATGCCTAGGGGCATGATATGATTGTGGAGGGGATTGGAACACCTGTGTCCATGGAGGGGATTGGAACACCTGAATCACATGATATGGAGGGGATTGGAACACCTGAATCACATGATATGGAGGGGATTGGAACACCTGAATCACATGATATGGAGGGGATTGGAACACCTGAATCACATGATATGAGGGGATTGGAACACCTGAATCACATGATATGGAGGGGATTGGAACACCTGAATCACATGATATGGAGGGGATTGGGACACCTGAATCACATGATATGGGAGGGGATTGGAACACCTGAATCACATGATTGGAGGGGATTGGAACACCTGAATCACATGATATGGAGGGGATTGGAACACCTGAATCACATGATATGGAGGGGATTGGAACACCTGAATCACATGATATGGAGGGGATTGGAACACCTGAATCACATGATTGGAGGGGATTGGAACACCTGAATCACATGATTTGGAGGGGATTGGAACACCTGAATCACATGATATGGAGGGGATTGGAACACCCGAATCACATGATATGGAGGGGATTGGACACCTGAATCACATGATATGGAGGGGATTGGAACACCTGAATCACATGATTGGAGGGGATTGGAACACCTGAATCACATGATTAGGAGGGGATGGGAACACCTGAATCACATGATATGGAGGGGATTGGAACACCTGAATCACATGATATGGAGGGGATTGGAACACATGATTGGGGGGATTGGAACACCTGAATCACATGATATGGAGGGGATTGGAACACCTGAATCACATGATATGGAGGGGATTGGAACACCTTAATCACACTGATTGGGAGGGGATTGGAACACCTGAATCACATGATTGGGAGGGGATTGGAACACCTGAATCACATGATATGGAGGGGATAGGAACACCTGAATCACATGATATGGAGGGGATTGGAACACCTGAATCACATGATATGGAGGCGATTGGAACACCTGAATCACATGATATGGAGGTGATTGGAACACCTGAATCACATGATATGGAGGGGATTGGAACACCTTAATCACAACACGATGGAGGGAGGGATTGGAACACCTTAATCACACGATTGGGAGGGGATTGGAACACCTGAATCACATGATATGGAGGGGATAGGAACACCTGAATCACATGATATGGAGGGCGGGGCCAATACTTTTGGAAATATAGTATACATGAAAAGTTTGTTCTTTGATGACAGATCTGCCCCAATCAGCTCGCAGTATTCATTCTGTATCAGTTGTAATTCTTGTTTGTTTCCATAGTAATGAACGGGAGCAGCCACTCCCCCACTGCTATCAATGGAGCCCCATCTACCCCCAATGGTTTCAGCAACGGACCGTCTGCGTCATCCTCGGCTGCACTGACCAATCAGCAGCTGCCCCCAGCCTGTGGGGCCCGGCAGCTCAGCAAACTCTCAAGCGCTTCCTGACTACATTGCAGCAGTTTGGCAGCGACATCTCTCCGGAGATCGGGGAGCGGGGGGTGCGGCCCTGGTGCTGGGACTGGTGGTGAGTACCGGAAGCAGCACTGATTGTAGGCGTCATTACACAACTCAGCACTTTAAAGATGAAGTTTACCAAAGAAGAAAATCCCTACAGCTTCAGTCACATCACTTAGTAAAGAAGGTCCCACATTGAAAAATCTTCACTGCAGGGATGCCCTGTCCTCTTCCTGGGTCTGACCTTCTGGCGCTGCAATGGTTCACAGCTTTGGCTCTTCAGGCAGAACATCTCCCTCCTACTTCCTCCTTCATTGACAAAACATTTTTTTCTTTGGTTACATTGCTTGTAACAGGATCTGTGAATGGTGGAGAGTCTCCTCAGTCACACAGGGTTATCTCCCCCATTCACAGATCATGTAATCAATGAAAGATCTTTTGTCATTGGAGGAGGAGGAGAAGAAGGGACCATCCCTACCGCCGTTCTGCCTGAAGAGCAAAGCTGTTCATTATTACAGAACCTGGAAATTCAGAGCCAGGAAGAGGACTGGGCAACCCTGCAGTGAAGGATTCTCCTGGATCCACAACCTGAGACATACACTATATTACCCCCAGTATTGGGCCGCCGGCCTTTCCCCTCACATGACCTTTAATGGCCCCCCAGTCTTAGTCCGTAGGGTTCAATATTGAGTTGGCCCCGCCCTCTCCACACACATGACCTTTAATGGCCCCCCCAGTCTTAGTCTGTAGGATTCAATATTGAGTTGGCCCCTTCCTCTCCACACACATGACCTTTAATGGCCTCCCAGTCTTTGTAGGATTCAATATTGAGTTGGCCCCGCCCTTCCCACACACATGACCTTTCATGGCCCCCCAGTCTTAGTCCGTAGGGTTCAGTATTGAGTTGGCCCCGCCCTTTCCCCTTACATGACCTTTCATGGCCCCCCAGTCTTAGTCCGTAGGGTTCAATATTGAGTTGGCTCCGCCCTTCCACGCACATGACCATTAATGGCCTCCCCATGCACATGACCATTAATGGCCTCCCAGTCTTAGTTTGTAGGGTTCAATATTGAGTTGGCCCGGCCCTTCCACACACATGACTTTTAATGGCCCCCCAGTCTTAGTCCGTAGGGTTCAATATTGAGTTGGCCCCGCCCTTTCCACACACATGACCTTTAATGGCCCCCCAGTCTTAGTCCGTAGGGTTCAATATTGAGTTGCCCCGCCATGCCGACCTTTAATGGCCCCCCCCCATAGGGCACATGACCTTTAATGGCCCCCCAGTCTTAGTCCGTAGGGTTCAATATTGAGTTGGCCCCGCCCTTTGCCTCTTCTGGGAAGGCCGTCCACAAGATTTAGGAGGGTGTCTATGAGAAGGTTGGGACCATTCTTCCAGAAGCATATTTGTCAGGCACTGATGTCGGGGGAGGAGGCACTGATGTCGGGGGAGGAGGCCTGGCTCGCAGTCTCTCCGCTCTAATTCATCCCAAAGGTGTTCTATGGGGGTTGAGGTCAGGACTCTGTGCAGGACAGTCAAGTTCCTCCACCCCAAACTGGCTCCTCCATGTCTTTATGGACCTTGCTTTGTGCACTGGTGGGCAGTCATGTTGGAACAGGAAGGGGCCATCCCCAAACTCTTCCCACAAAGTTGGGAGCATGAAATTGTCCAAAATGTTGCCTTAAGAGTTCCCTTCACTGGAACTAGGGGGCCAAGCCTAACCCCTGAAAAACACCCCCACACCATAATCCCCCTCCACCAAACTTTACACTTGGCACAATGCAGTCAGGTAAGTACCGTTCTCCTGGCCACCACCAAACCCAGACACATACATTGGATTGCCAGACAGAGAAGCGCGATTGGTCACTCCAGAGGACACGCCTCCACTGCTCTACAGTCCAGTGGTGGCGTGCTTTACACCATGGCATCCGACGCTTTGCATTGCACTTGGTGATGGAAGGCTTGGATGCAGCTGCTCGGCCATGGAAACCCATTCCATGAAGCTCTCTACGCACTGTTGTTGGGCTCATCTGAAGGCCACACCACGTTTGGGGGGTCTGGGCCCAATACTTTGGGTAGTGTAGAGTACCTTCTGACAGGTAAGTGATCTGATGAGAGTTACGGGATTTTCTTTTTTTAGCTGAACTTCAGCTTTAACCATTTCCTGTCACATATACAAAGTGTGAGTGATATTCTGAAGTACATTGCAGGCAGTTCTGCTCATTTTTCTTTTGACCTTCGATTGGCTGCTAACGCAGAACTGACATTTTTTTAGACATTTACATTTCATAGAAAACTGCAGTAGGAGCCTCGTGGGAGTTTCTGCGGAGTTTGTCTTTAAAACCGGTTCCCATTCTATTTTTTTTCCCAGAATTCCACGCTCACAATCGAAGAATTTCACTCGAAACTGCAAGAAGCAACCAACTTCCCCCTCCGCCCTTTCGTCATCCCGTTCCTAAAGGTAGGACTGCCAATGTCAATGGCGACTTTTCATTGTATGGCCTGGAAAGGCAACCAATAAATGATTGGCTACCGTTGATGATCTGCACTTCTGAAAAATACTAGTTTCCTGGCTGTCATGCTAACCCAGCAGCTTTAAAGTCTTTATTAAGGATTACCTGTAGGTGTCCAATGGAACATCTCATAAATACTTACCGATTAGGAGATATTCGCATTAAATGCAGCCGGTGACGTCACCAAGCATACCGAGCCGAACCTTTAGAGCTCTGTGCTGCAGCCGAAGGCACAAGAGTGACGTCATCGTGGCTGCAGCCTCTCATGTACAGGGAGGCCACATGAGGTGTTTTACCCTAATAAATTCTCTGCATTAAGGTTACAAACGCACCGTACCTCAACACTTACCTGGCTGCATGTCATCGCCACTCGCTCCAGCACCTCCCCCCTCAGGGCTGTCTTCATGCATGGGCACTACCCAGGGGCCCCAGGTGCGTTGGGGCCCTATGATAATCTTGCATTACATCTTAATTGCCAGCTGTCCAAGATTTGTCTCGGAGTGACCCAGGCAGTATCCCAGAACCTGTACTGTGCCCTCCTGACCCCAGTATTGTGCCCTCCTGACCCCAGTATTGTGCCCTCCTGACCCCAGTATTGTGCCCTCCTGACCCCAGTATTGTGCCCTCCTGACCCCAGTATTGTGCCCTCCTGATCCCAGTATTGTGCCCTCCTGATCCCAGTATTGTGCCCTCCTGACCCCAGTATTGTGCCCTCCTGATCCCAGTATTGTGCCCTCCTGATCCCAGTATTGTGCCCTCCTGATCCCAGTATTGTGCCCTCCTGACCCCAGTATTGTGCCCTCCTGATCCCAGTATTGTGCCCTCCTGATCCCAGTATTGTGCCCTCCTGATCCCAGTATTGTGCCCTCCTGACCCCAGTATTGTGCCCTCCTGATCCCAGTATTGTGCCCCTCCTGATCCCAGTATTGTGCCCTCCTGACCCCAGTATTGTGCCCTCCTGATCCCCCCAGTATTGTGCCCTCCTGATCCCAGTATTATGCCCTCCTGACCTCCTGATCCCAGTATTGTGCCCTCCTGATCCCAGTATTGTGCCCCCTGATCCCAGTATTGTGCCCTCCTGATCCCCAGTATTGTGTCCTCCTGAACTCCCCAGTATTGTGCCCCCCCCCCCGATCCCAATATTGTGCCCTCCTGATCCCAGTATTGTGCCCTCCTGATCCCCCAGTATTATACCCTCCTGATCCCAGTATTGTGCCCTCCTGATCCCAGTATTGTGTCCTCCTGATCCCAGTATTGTGTCCTCCTGATCCCAGTATTGTGCCCCCTCCTTAACCCAGTATTGTGCCCCCTCCTGATCCCAGTAATGTGCCCTCCTGATCCCAGTATTGTGCCCTCCTGATCCCCAGTAATGTGCCCTCCTGATCCCAGTATTGTGCCCTCCTGATCCCAGTATTGTGCCCTCCTGATCCCAGTATTGTGTCCCCTGATCCCAGTATTGTGCCCTCCTGATCCCAGTACTGTGCCCTCCTGATCCCAGTACTGTGCCCTCCTGATCCAGTATTGTGCCCTCCCCCCCCCCCTGATCCCAGTATTGTGCCCTCCTGATCCCAGTACTGTGCCCTCCTGATCCCCCTGTACTGTACCCTCCTGATCCCAGTATTGTGCCCTCCTGAACCCAGTATTATGTGCCCTCCTGAACCCAGTATTGTGCCCTCCTGATCCCAGTATTGTGCCCTCCTGAACCCAGTATTGTGCCCTCCTTAACCCAGTATTGTGTTCTCCTGATCCCAGTATTGTGCCCTCCTGATCCCAGTATTGTGCCCTCCTGATCCCAGTATTGTGCCCTCCTGATCCCAGTATTGTGCCCTTCTGACCCCAGTATTGTGCCCTCCTGATCCCAGTACTGTGCCCCTCCTGATCCCAGTATTGTGCCCTCCTGATCCCAGTATTGTGCCCTCCTGATCCCAGTATTGTGCCCCTCCTGATCCCAGTATTGTGCCCTTTTGTTCCCAGTATTGTGCCCTCCTGACCCCAGTATTGTGCCCTCCTGACCCCAGTATTGTGCCCTCCTGACCCCAGTATTGTGCCCTCCTGATCCCAGTATTGTGCCCCCTCCTGACCCCCAGTATTGTGCCTCCTGACCCCAGTATTGTGCCTCCTGATCCCAGTATTGTGCCCCTCCTGATCCCCCTGTACTGTGTGCCCTCCTGATCCCCCTGTATTGTGCCCTCCTGATCCCAGTATTGTGCCCTCCTGATCCCAGTATTGTGCCTCCTGATCCCAGTATTGTGCCCTCCTGAACCAGTATTGTGCCCTCCTGATCCCAGTATTGTGCCCTCCTGATCCCAGTATTGTGTCCTCCTGATCCCAGTAATGTGCCCTCCTGATCCCAGTATTGTGGCCTCCTGATCCCAGTATGTGTGATCCCAGTATTGTCTCCTGATCCCAGTATTGTGTCCTCCTGATCCCAGTATTGTGCCCTCCTGATCCCAGTACTGTGCCCTCCTGATCCCAGTACTGTGCCCTCCTGATCCCAGTATTGTGCCCTCTTGATCCCAGTATTGTGTCCTCCTGAACCCAGTATTGTGCCCTCCTGATCCCAGTATTGTGCCCTCCTGATCCCAGTAATGTGCCCTCCTGATCCCAGTATTGTGCCCTCCTGATCCCAGTATTGTGCCCTCCTGATCCCAGTATTGTGCCCTTCTGATCCCAGTATTGTGCCCCTTTTGTTCCCAGTATTGTGCCCTCCTGACCCCAGTATTGTGCCCTCCTGATCCCAGTATTACTGTGTCCTCCTGATCCCCCTGTACTGTGCCCTCCTGATCCCCCTCCCAGTACTGTGCCCTCCTGATCCCAGTATTGTGCCCTCCTGATCCCAGTATTATATGCCCTCCTGAACCCAGTATTATGTGCCCTCCTGAACCCAGTATTGTGCCCTCCTGATCCCAGTATTGTGTCCTCCTTGAACCCAGTATTGTGCCCTCCTGATCCCAGTAATGTGCCCTCCTGATCCCAGTATTGTGCCCTCCTGATCCCAGTATTGTGCCCTCCTGATCCCAGTATGTGTGATCCCTCCTGATCCCAGTGTTGTGCCCTCCTGATCCCAGTACTGTGCCCTCCTGTTCCCAGTATTGTGCCCTCTTGATCCCAGTATTGTGCCCTCCTGATCCCAGTATTGTGCCCTCCTGATCCCAGTATTGTGCCCTCCTGATCCCAGTATTGTGCCCTCTTGATCCCAGTATTGTGCCCTCCTGATCCCAGTATTGTGCCCTCCTGATCCCAGTATTGTGCCCTCCTGAATCCCAGTATTGTGCCCTCCTGATCCCAGTATTGTGTCCCTCCTGATGCCAGTAATGTGCCCTTCTGATCCCAGTATTGTGCCCTCCTGATCCAGTATTGTGCCCCTCCTGATCCCAGTATTGTGCCCTCCTGCTCCCAGTATTGTGCCCTCCTGATCCCAGTAATGTGCCCTCCTGATCCCAGTAATGTGCCCTCCTGATCCCAGTATTGAGCCCATCCTGATTCCAGTATTGTGCCCTCCTGATCCCAGTATTGTGCCCTCCTGATCCCAGTAATGTGCCCTTCTGATCCCAGTAATGTGCCCTCCTGATCCCAGTATTGTGCCCTCCTGATCCCAGTAATTGTGCCCTCCTGATCCCAGTAATGTGCCCTCCTGATCCCAGTATTGTGCCCTCCTGATCCCAGTATTGTGCCCTCCTGATCCCAGTATTGTGCCTTCTGATCCCAGTATTGTGCCCTCCTGATCCCAGTATTGTGCCCTCCTGATCCCAGTATTGTGCCCTCCTGATCCCAGTATTGTGCCCTCCTGATCCCAGTATTGTGCCCTCCTGATCCCAGTATTGTGCCCTCCTGACCTGCCTGTACTGTGCCCTCCTGATCCCAGTATTGTGCCCTCCTGATCCCCAGTATTGTGTCCTCCTGATCCCAGTATTGTGCCCTCCTGATCCCAGTATTGTGTCCTCCTGATCCAGTATTGTGCCTCCTGATCCATCCATATTGTGCCCTCCTGATCCCAGTATTGTTTCCTCCTGATCACAGTATTGTGCCCCCCCTGATCCCAATATTGTGCCCTCCTGATCCCAGTATTGTGTCCCTCCTGATCCCAGTATTGTGCCCACCATTTTTCTTTTCACTTGCAGTATATTGGAGATGTCCGAGTAGCAAATCAAAGGGCATAAGAGTTACAACTGAATATATTGCGATCAGGTTGTTACATTGTATTTATGAATGAAGGATGTAAGCAGCCCTACACTTCATTCACACATGAGCTGCTACCAGCAGCCCTGCAGCGCAGAACGGGACCCGGCTTTCAGTTTCACTTTCACTTTCATGTCTTGAAAACCTTGGGGTTCTGCGCCCATAGGAGAGGCACGCAGCAGCTGCAGCACTTGCCCATATCACCTTTCCTATTGCTTGCATACATCAAATCTTTTTTCTCTTTCACAGGCTAACCTTCCATTGCTGCAGCGGGAGCTCCTTCACTGCGCCCGCCTGGCAAAGCAAAGCCCGGCTCAGTACCTGGCCCAGAATGAACAGCTGCTCCTGGACACCAGCGTCAGCGGCTCACCCAGCGACTCCTCCGATCAGCTCCTACTGGATGTGAATGAGAACGGCAAGCGGACGGACACCTGACAGGTATGACCATCAGCAGGATATGTTGGCTGAGATACGAGTCTAGTGCCATTCAGCAAAGATATCAGCCACACAGGGAGAGATGGGCCGGCTACGATTAAATGAGCAGCTTTGATGTTCCACCTCTGAAAAGCGATCTGCGCTGAATCACTTATCAGAGGCGTTTGAGAGGCATATCGCTTCTTCACAACCTGTTTTAACCCTGTAAATGTCCCACCACTTCGCATTCACCATTACGTGGCCCTGTTCAAACGGTCAGTTTTGCTGGCTGCTTAAGGGGGGTAAGTAAAAAGGTGGCTTAACTGCCTAGTTTTGCCATCCCCACCCACAAGACTTAATGAGCCCTTAAAGTGTAAGAAGGAACTATACATTTTAGTACAATATTTGTGCAGGAAACAGAGCCTGCATGTGTAAGGTGCAAAATATGGCCGCACACATGAACACTATATTGCCGAAAGTATGGGGCCCGCCCTCCATATCATGTGATTCAGGTGCTCCAATCCCCTCCATATCATGTGATTCAGGTGTTCCAATCCCCTTATATCAATGTGATTCAGGAGTTTCCAATCCCCTCCATATCATGTGATTCAGGTGTTCCAATCCCCTCCATATCATGTGATTCAGGAGTTCCAATCCCCTCCATATCATTCGGGTGTTCCAATCCCCTCCATATCATGTGATTCAGGTGTTCCATCCCCTCCATATCATGTGATGCAGGCGTTCCAATCCCCTCCATATCATGTGATTCAGGAGTTCCAATCCCCTCCATATCATGTGATTCGGGTGTTCCAATCCCCTCCATATCATGTGATTCAGGTGTTCCAATCCCCTCCATATCATGTGATTCAGGAGTTCCAATCCCCTCCATATCATGTGATTCGGGGTGTTCCAATCCCCTCCATATCATGATTCAGGTGTTCCAGTCCCCTCCATATCATGTGATGCAGGCGTTTCCATATCATGTGATCAGGCGTTCCAATCCCCTCCATATCATGTGATTCAGGCGTTCCAATCCCCTCCATATCATGTGATTCAGGTGTTCCAATCCCCTCCATATCTTGTGATTCAGGTGCTCCAATCCCCTCCATATCATGTGATTCCAGGTGTTCCAATCCCCTCCATGGACACAGGTGTATACAATCAAGCCCCTAGGCATGCAGACTGCTTCTACAGACATTGGTGAAAGAATGGGTCGCTCTCAGGAGCTCAGTGACTCCAAGCGTGGTCCCGTGATAGGTGGCCACCTGGGCAATAAGTCCATCCGGACATTTCCTGGCTACTAAATATTCCACGCTCAACTGTTAGTGGGATTATAACAAAGTGGAAGCCACTGGGAACAACAGCCACTCAGCCACCAAGTGGTAGGCCACGTCAGATGACAGGGCGGGGTCAGCGCATGCTGAAGCACACAGTGCGCAGAAGTCACCAACTGTCTGCAGAGTCAATAGCTAAAGACCTCCAAACTTGGTGTGGCCCTCAGATGAGCCCAACAACAGTGCGTAGAGAACTTCATGGAATGGGTTTCCATGGCCGAGCAGCTGCATCCAAGCCTTCCATCACCAAGTGCAATGCAAAGCGTCGGATGCCGTGGTGTAAAGCATGCCGCCACTGGACTCTAGAGCAGAGGAGACGTGTTCTCTGGAGTGACCAATCACACGTCTCTGTCTGGTAATCTGATGGACGTGTCTGGGTTTTTTGGTGGTGGCCAGAAGAACGGTACTTGCCTGACTGCATTGTGCCAAGTGTAAAGTTTGGTGGAGGGGGGATTATGGTGTGGGGGTGTTCTTCAGGGGTTGTGCTTGGCCCCTAGTTCCAGTGAAGGGAACTCTTAAGGCGACATTTTGGACAATTTCATGCTCCCAACTTTGTGGGAGGAGTTTGGGGATGGCCCCTTCCTGTTCCAACATGACTGCCCACCAGTGCACAAAGCAAGGTCCATAAAGACATGGAGGAGCCAGTTTGGGGTGGAGGAACTTGACTGTCCTGCACAGAGTCCTGACCTCAACCCCATAGAACACCTTTGGGATGAATTAGAGCGGAGACTGCGAGCCAGGCCTCCTCCCCCGACATCAGTGCCTCCTGACACCACCTGACAAATGTGCTTCTGGAAGAATGGTCCAACCTTCCCATAGACACCCTCCTAAACCTTGTGGATGGCCTTCCCAGAAGAGTTGAAGCTGTTATAGCTGCAAAGGGCGGGGCCAACTCAATATTGAACCCTACGGACTAAGACTGGGGGGCCATTAAAGGTCATGTGTGTGGAAAGGCTGGCCAATACTTGGGGCATATATAGTGTATATACGTGGGGGGGGGGGCGGGGACAATACTTGGGGCAATATAGTGTATATACGGGGGGGGGCGGGGACAATACTTGGGGCAATATAGTGTATATATGGTGGGGGGGCGGGGACAATACTTGGGGCAATATAGTGTATATACTTGGGGGGCGGGGACAATACTTGGGGCAGTATGGTGTATATACGGGGGACAATACTTTGGGCAATATAGTGTATGTACAGTTGGGGGGGCGGGGACAATACTTGGGGGGACAATACAATTTGGGCAATATAGTGTATGTAGTTGGGGCAATATAGTGTATATTTGGGGGGCGGGGACAATACTTGGGGCAATTGGGGACAATACTTGGGGCAATATAGTGTATATTTGGGGGTATATTTGGGGGGGGGGGACAATACAATATAGTGTATATTTGGGGCGGGGACAATACTTGGGGCAATATAGTGTATCGTTACATAAACACGTTTTTTTTTTTATTGATAAGATTATATACATCAAGCTGAATTGTTTTTACATGTATAATAGGATACACGTGATATGATAGGTTAGAATTTGTCATGTGACATCTATGTAGGTCCTAAATATTAACAAAGTGAATTGCCAGTTAGCGTTGCTATAATGTGAAGCTGAGTACACGTCAAATACCCAATCATATGGAAGGGAATTAAAAAAAAAAGAGAGAGCTCCAGCTCACAGCCTCTGATTGATCACCTCAGCGGTGTTCATGTGTCTGTGTGAAAGGGGGGGGGGGTGGTGTCCCTTCCCTCCAATCAGCTCTCACTGAGCTTTGCGGAGTGTAACTTCAGCTCCTCGTCCCGTTTTCTGAAAGCGCAGACAAGCTGTAAAAATTCTGGACTTTTAACGGCTGTAGAGAAGAGAGGGTTCAGATAAAGAGGTACAACTTCTGTAGGAAGATTTGTTTCATCTCTGTGTATCCCCTGAGCCCGGTCACTCGAGCATATGTGAGGGTTTACCACCACTTTAAATATTGAAAAAAACCTTTTGGAGCATTTTTTGGATTTGAGATATGACTGATGATATCTTGTTTTTTGAATTGTACATTTAATGGAATAAATCCTTTTCTTTAGGACCAAAGAGAACGCACAGGAAGGTCTCCACCCGGATCACCTTGCCAAGCGGCCATGCACCACAAGCCCCGCTCAAAGATACAGTCCCAGCAATGGACTACTCCATCCGCCCACCAATGGACTCCCACACCCCCTCCCCCCACCTCCTACTCAGCACTACCGCTTGGAAGACATGGTGCTGGCCCATCACTACCGCCATACAGACCCTCGGGAGCTGAGAGATCGATATCGGCAGGCAGGTATGAGACGCGCTCCTGCATATCTAGAAGGTTAAACGGTACGAGGGCCAAGGAGGCCAAGTGGGAATAGCCAGGCATAGATGGACCATAAAAGTGTCTGGAGGAAGAGTCTTTATCAAACCCAACCAACGTCATGCTCCCCTTTCCTTTCCACACTGCGTAGGAAACCGAAGGGGGAAATACTGCAGCATTTATTACTGTAGGGAGCAACAATTGTTCCAGACACCATCTTCCATACACTCTTATGGGGTCCAATGTGCGGACAGGTTAAAGCCAGGGAAAAATGTGAAGTCTTACAGTTTACAGCAGCGTCCTACTAAGTGGGAGATCCGAAGGGGCACCCAAGTTTGCAGATCCATCCATTAGAATTCCTCATTCTCCTACATATTCAATAAGGCCAACAATGGCGATCTCCATGTTTCTTGGTTTCTCAGGATAGGTTTTCTATAGTTGTCCTCAAGTGTTGTCACTGTGTCAGTGCTATCAAGTGCAGATGACTGGGGATCCCGAGCTGTGCTGCAATAAACAGACGGTGCTGCTATGTGTTTACACATCTGGTATTGTGTAACAGCCGGAGCTCCAGCTAATATTGTCATACATAGTCTATTTTGGGTGCCCTAACATGCCAGTCTAGCAGATGCCTGAGAAGCTGCGTGATCTCAGCAGCAGGCTGTGTAATTCATGCATCAGCAGACATGCTGTTTGATGGCCCCAGTATGGGAAGAGGATCGCACAGGCCAACGTGGGCGCTATAACACAAACTACGTCACAGAGGGATCCCATCACTGTCGTAATGTGTTCTCACAAGCAAAGTGCCTCGGCTCCTGGATTGTATGCTGTCTGGTCAAATGTTTGAGGACACCGACCTTCATGCTTATTAGACGACCCACTCCAAAACCATGGATATGAGATTCCAAAATATGGAGTTGTCCTTCAACCTGGACCTTTTAGACTAAAAACAGCCTTCACAATTCTGGAAGACCATTGACAAGTCTATGGGGTGTTTGCAAGAATTTGTGCTTGTTCAAAAGAACATTTGTGAGTTCAGGTATGGATGTTGGATGAGAAAACCACAACTACGTCACATCAGAGAGTGATACCACCACTGTCCTAAGGTGTCCTCAAGCACAAAGTGCCTTGGCTCCTGAATTGTATGCTATGAGGTTAAATGTTTGTGGACACACTTTCACAGTTCTATGAGCTCGTTTGACAACCCACTCTAAAACCATGGGCATGGGACTCCAAAATATGGAGTTGTCCTTCAGCCTGGACCTTTGTGACTAAAACAGCCTTTTGGGGTGCTTCCGAGAATTTGTGTTTGTTCAGTCAAAATAACATTTGTGAGGTCAGGTATGGATGTTGGACGACAGGACCACAGCTACATCACAGTGATTCCACCACCGTCCTAATGTCTCCTCACATACAAAGTGCCTGGGCTCCTGGATTGTATGCTATTGGGTTAAACATTTATGGACACCAGACCTTCATGCTTGCCAGACAACTCATTTCAAAACCATTGGCATGAGACTCCAAAATATGGAGTTGTCCATCACCCTGGACCTTTGGGATTAAAACAGCCTCATCACATTGAGAAGACTGTAAAAAAAGATTTTGGGGTGCTTGTGAGAATTTGAGCTTGTTCAGCCAAAGAGAAATTTCTGTGGTTGGGTACGGATGTTGAACAAGCAGACCACAACTACGTCACAGAGCAATCACACCACTGTCATAATGTGTCCTCAAACACAATGTGCCTTGGCTCCTGGATTGTGTACTTTTATGGCCAAACGTTTGTGGACACCTGACCTTCATGTTTGTTAGACAACTCACTCCAAAACCATGGGCCTAGGACTCCAAAATATGAATTTGTCCTCCAACCTGGAGCTTTGTGACGAAAACAGCCTTCACAATTTGGGAAGACCATTGACAGGATTTTTTTGGGTTGTTTCCGAGAATTTGTGCTTGTTCAGTCAAAAGAACATTTGTAAGGTCAGGTGTGGATTGGAGATGAGAAGACCATAACTATGTCACAGAGCGAACACACCACTGTCCTAATGTATCCTCACACACAGTTACTGGGCTCCTGGATTATGTACTATATAGCCAAACGTTTGTGGACACCTTACCTTCACACTTCTATGAGCTTGTTGGACGACCCATTCCAAAACCATGGGCATGGGACTCCAAAATATGAAGTTGTCTTTCAACCTGGCCCTTTGTGGCTTAAATAGCCTCCACAATTTGAGAAGACTGTTGACAAGATTTTGACGAGTGTGCAAGAATTTGTGACTGTTCAGCCAAAAGAACTTTTTTGAGGTTGGGTACAGATGTTGGATGAGAAGACCTGGCTTCAACTCAGCATTCCAATTGATTACGAAGGCGTTCTGTAGAGCTGAGGTCAGGGCTAGCTCATTGAACCGTGTCTTTAGGGAAAAAAAAAGAGCCTTCCCAAATTGGTGGCCAAAATTGCTTCAAACATCTCTGTGTGCTGTAAGATTAACAGTACCATTCACTAGAAACACCAGAACTTGATAGGGCTGGATGCGATGGATCAGGTGTCCGCAGACTGTTGGCTATATAGTGTAGGACCCTGGAGTCCAACCTGTGGTTCGAGGACTGCATGCGGCCCGTTAGTAAATGATGTGCATCCCTCGGACCTCAGCAGTTTATAGTGGGAACATTGATTAGGGTAATAGCATTAATCTCTACCAGCCTCATGGTTTGGTATTGCATTCTGCAGCCAACAATGTATCCTGTCCTCACTCTCTGACCCTAATTTTCTCTATTAGGTCTGCAATCTCTGAAAGTCCTCCCAAGCATTACGTATATTAAACATTATGTGTGGCCCTTTGGTGATGTCAAGGGCCATGGACAGGGCTGTTGTTAGAAACCACGGGGCCCCATCCAGCCAACCTTGCAGGCCCCCCCCCCCCTTCCAAAAAAACATAGTTTACTATGCTTTAGTAATGAATGTACATAGTTAGTGATTGGTACCGATCACTCATTGTGTTCATTCAGAAAAGGAAGGGGCTGGTAAATGTGATGTATTTACTGGACCTTTTCCCCACTCTCCATCCTGATCTTAGTGCGTGCTTGCAGCTGCTGAAAGGAGAGGAGGGAAGTCTGCAGCACTGTAGGGGTGAGTGCACAAAGGGGGCCTGGGCAGCAGGGGGGGTAATTGCTGGAACCGATTCCCTGTATTGCTCTCTGCAGCAGCTGAAAGCCAGCAAGAGGGAGAGAAGAAGTCAACTTTCAGCTGCTGCAGAGAGAGTCATACAGGGGATCGGTTCCAGTAATTACCCCCCTCCCACCATACCAATCACCCTCCCTGCCTACATCCAATTCACCCAGCTGCCTGGGTCCCCCCTGGTAGCCTGGGCCCTGTAAATGAGGACTGGTGGTACCCCCTTATCCACGGCCCTGGCCATGGATGAGGCCACCTATAGCTCATAAGTTGACAAACACTGGTACAGGGGGTTTTGTCAAAAAGCCAGCGGCAGGGAGAGGAGAAGAAGTCAACCTTCAGCTGCTGCTGAGAGAGTCATACAGGGGATAGGTTCCAGTAATTACCCCCCCCTGCTGCCCAGGCCCTCTTTGTGGAAGTCTTTGACAAAACCCCCTGCACCAGTGGTTGCCAACTTATGAGCTATAGGTGGCCTCATCCATGGCCAGGGCTGTGGATAAGGGGGAACCAACAGTCCTCATGTACGGGGTCCAGGCTACCAGGGGGGACCCAGGCAGCTGGGTGAATTGGATGTAGGCAGGGAGGGTGATTGGTATGGTGGAAGGGGGGGTGCTTACTGGAACCGATCCCCTGTATGACTCTCTGTGGCAGCTGAAAGTTGACTTCTTCTCCTCTCCCCCTTGCTGGCTTTCAGCTGCTGCAGAGAGAGTCATCATACTGGAGATAGGTTCCAGTAATTACCCCCCCCCCCCTGCTGCCCAGGCCCCCTTTGTGGAAGTCTTTGACAAAACCCCCTGCACCAGTGGTTGCCAACTTATGAGCTATAGGTGGTCTCATCCATGGCCAGGGCTGTGGATAAGGGGGAACCAACAGTCCTCATGTACGGGGTCCAGGCTACCAGGGGGGACCCAGGCAGCTGGGTGAATTGGATGTAGGCAGGGAGGGTGATTGGTATGGTGGAAGGGGGTGCTTACTGGAACCGATCCCCTGTATGACTCTCTCTGTAGCAGCTGAAAGTTAACTTCTTCTCCTCTCCCTCTTGCTGGCTTTCAGCTGCTGCAGAGAGAGAGTCATACAGGGGATCGGTTCCAGTAATTACCCCCTCCCACCATACCAATCACCCTCCCTGCCTACATCCAATTCACCCAGCTGCCTGGGACCCCCTGGTAGCCTGGGCCCCCCCGGTAGCATGGGCCCCCCCGGTAGCCTGGACCCCGTACATGAGGACTGGTGGTACCCCCTTATCCACAGCCCTGGCCATGGATGAAGCCCCCTATAGCTCATGAGTTGACAACCACGGGTGCTGGGGGTTTTGTCAAAGCCCTCCATGGTTTCTCCAGCCATCTGTCCATGTATCCAGGACTCTCCTGTCTGCATTAACACTAAAGATTTTGTATTCCCTTCACCAAAACATGGAAAGAAGCGTGTCTGGTTATAATTATCCGCGATAAGCAGCTTGTATTTCCTCTTTCAGCTGTGCATGAGGTCATTGATCACCGGCTGACAGACCGGGAGTGGGCAGAAGAGTGGAAACAACTCAACAATGTGAGTATGCCAAGAAAATGACGGCTCTAAAGATCAACATTGTAAGATTATTATCCCTAGAAATGACAAAACTGCTGTGAAATGTCATCTGATTGGCCGGTGCGGGTTACTGCAGGTCATTGCTGATGGTTTTTAAAGAACTAATTATTATTGACCCCTAACTGAGTCGAACGATATCCAGGACCAGGAGAGATCGTGGTGTCTGGTTGTGGAGATGACAGAAGTTGCATCTTTTCAGCCTCCTCCGGATAAGAAGCTGAGATGGAATTGTAAATCGGTTATATTTAGAGATCTAAAGAGCTCCATCATGGGAATCGGTTAGAACCAGGGGTGGACTCACCATTCGGAAACTCAGGCACTGCCCGAGGGCCCAGGGTCAGTAGGGGGCCCCATGAGATGCCCCTGGTACCTTTTTCATAGGCTTTTTTGAGTTTGGGCAAAGACACAGGGGCCCCATGATCCCCTATTGCCCAGGGGCCCCATGAGTTGTCAGTCCGCCCCTGGTTAGAAGGGATTTGTTGGGATTCGAATGCCTAAATCTGAATTCCAGGTATCGTCCTAATTGCATAGAGTCCAGCTTGGACCATTGGAAGTATGCATGTCCCCATTGGTGGGCGCAGCCTATCGCATTATGGTGTGCACCCCAAAGCTCAAACAGCGAGCGGGAAAATTCCCCTTTATTTATTTATTTCAGGTACTTCTATATCGCCATCAATGTACTCCGCGCTTTACATATCTATTGTACATTCACATCAGTCCCCGCCCCCGAGGAGCGTACAATCTAAGGTCCCTAACTCACATTCATACATACACATACTAGGGACAATTTAGACAGGAGCCAATTAACCTCCCAGCCAGGGGTGGACTGATAACTCATGGGGCCCCCGGGCAATAGGGGATCATGGGGCCCCTGTGTCCTTGCCCACACTCAAAGCACACCCAAAAAAAACCTGTAAAAGGCACCAGGGGCATTTCATGGGGCCCCCTACTGACCCCAGGCCCTCAGGCAGTGCCCAAGTGCTTGAATGGTCAGTCTGCCCCTGCTCCCAGCATGTCATTGGAGTGTGGGAGGAAACTGGAGTACCCAGAGGAAACCCACGCAGGCACAGGGAGAACATGCAAACTCCAGGCAGGTGGTGCCGTGGTTGGGATTCGAACCATTGACCCGAGTACTGCCAGGCGGAAGTGCTAACCATTTAGCCACTGTGCTGCCCATAAAAAAGAGAAGTGCGGGAATTAAACATTTATACCTAGTTGGGTGCTGCATCCATCTCCTGCTACCTCTACACCGAGAACTGAGCGATCAAGGACCACTGATCGCTCAATTATCGGGTGTGCTCTCTGCTCTGCCCCTCCAGCGCTTAGTCTGGGAATACACTGATGCGGTGTGGGATTCGCAGCCATTCCTGTGCGTTTCCCGCACCGCGTCACAATTGTGTTCATGCGATCTGCTGCAGGTGTCAGTGTTAAATTAACTGCACCCCAAGAACAGCTCGCAAAATGCAGTGCGATTGCCTGAATCGGATCCCATGCGATCTGATTCCAGTGCAGCAAATAAAAAGGTGTGGATGCGGTGCGATGTGAGCCATACAACATGAATGGGCTCAAAATGCACCGCACAGAATTGAACAGGAAAGGGCTCAGGCATGCTGGATCGATGATGTCACAAGGGGGCGGGGTCACCCGGGTGATGTCACTGGGTGGCCCCGCTCCATAGATATTTAAGAACTGTCAAAGCTGGTGAAGCTGCCAGCGCCGAGAGTGGAGCCTTTTTTTTTTTTTCTTTTTTCGGGTCGGCGGTGGCGGCGGGCATCGTGATTGACGCTGGATATACTTCGGGGGACATTTTTTTTTATTTTTGTTGTTTTAATAAAGAACTTGTCAAAGACCGTCTCCTGTCGTTTTGTACACTACACTTTTTGTGAATGAGTGGCGGTACCATTCACATGGGGGGGGGGGGGGAATCTGGGGGCCCATACTTCTAGACCTCCGCAACCACTGGCCATGCTTGTGGGGAATAGGCCCTTGTTCCCATCAACAGGGGAGCCCCCCTGCCCCAAAGCACCCCCCCTTGTTCCCATCAACAGGGGAGCCCCCCTGCCCCAAAGCACCCCCCCTTGTTCCCATCAACAGGGGAGCCCCCTGCCCCAAAGCACCCCCCCTTGTTACCATCAACAGGGGAGCCCCCCCTGCCCCAAAGCACCCCCCCTTGTTCCCATCAACAGGGGAGCCCCCCTGCCCCAAAGCACCCCCCCTTGTTCCCATCAACAGGGGAGCCCCCCTGCCCCAAAGCACCCCCCCTTGTTCCCATCAACAGGGGAGCCCCCCTGCCCCGAAGCACCCCCCCTTGTTCCCATCAACAGGGGAGCCCCCCTGCCCCAAAGCACCCCCCCTTGTTACCATCAACAGGGGAGCCCCCCTGCCCCAAAGCACCCCCCCTCATGTTGGGGGCATGTGGCCTGGTATGGTTCAGGTGGGGGGGTGGGGCACTCACTACTTCCCCCCTTTTCTTGCCCTGCCAGGCTGCAGACTCAAACGACGGTATGGTATGGATTTTGGGGGGGGGCCCCATGCCATTTAAAAAAAAAAATGTTGGCGTGGGGGTTCCCCTCAAAATCCATACTAGACCTGAAGGCCTTGGTATGGATGGGAGAGGGAGGGACGTCACCCCGTTTTTTTGCAAAATTTTTTATTCTTTCTTTTTACATTCAGCTGTCAGTGGGAAACACCGCCGACGGCTGGAACATTACTGCGTGGAACATTACTGCGTGGAAGAATACCGCGTGGAACATTACCGCGTGGAACAATACCATGTGGAACATTTCCGCGTGAAACAATACCATGTGGAACATTTCCGCGTGAAACAATACCATGTGGAACATTTCCGCGTGGAACATTACCGCATGTTTTCGCTGCTAAAAACCGCACGACTTAAAAAAAAAAGAAATAAAACTAAAATAATATAAAATAATGACGTATTTTAGCAGCATTTTTAGTGATTGCCAACGTTTTCTTTTTTTTAAATGCTGTGCGCATATTCGGATGCGGCAAGATACCGCTTCGTGAATTGTCCACATTTTTTTTTCTCAAATTTGTGATTTTTTTTTTTTTGCTTTATATAATAAAAATTTAAAACTCCAAAGGGTGATAAAATGCCATGAAAAGAAAGCTCTGTCTGTGTGAAAACAAAAGATATAAATGACGATTGGATAGAGCGTTGCATGACCGAGCAATCACCAGTTAAAGTAGCGCAGTGCTGAGTAGCAAAAAAAATGGGCTGGCCATGAAGGAAAGGTGAAAGCATCCGGAGCTGAAGGGGTGATGGAACCTCCTGGGACGGATCGTTGCTGTGATTGTGGAAATGACGAGTTTTTTCTTTTTTTTCCCACCAGCTGTTAAACTGCATTATGGATATGGTGGAGAAAACCCGGCGCTCGCTGACGGTCCTCCGCCGCTGCCAGGAAGCAGACCGAGAAGAGCTCAACCACCGGCCACGGCGCTACAGTGATGCGGAGGACCTGAAAAAGAGCGTCAGCTCTGTGAGCCAGCCGGCGCGGCACCACAACAGCTCTTCAAGCACCGAGTCCTCACCAGCAGGTCAGCGAAGGAACTTCTACTATATGTAGCGATGTCAAGATTTATTGCACCTTACCGATCAGTAGATGTGACGACCGCATTCGTTTTCTTTTCTTGTGCTTTTTCCCCCTCTGTTTTCACCTGGTGATCTGGCCAGTAACACACCTCCTGTATTAGAGCGCCTCCACTCTGCAGGAAGGAGCACAGGGGGCACAGCAGACAGCAGCATTGCCACTCTGTTGGGGAGGGGAGTGTTAAATGTATTAACAATAACATATAAAGCCATTTATAACTCCGCCCCGAATTACATCACCAAACTTGTCTCCAAATATCACCCAAACCGTCCTCTCCGCTCCTCCCATGACCTCCTACTCTCTAGCTCCCTTGTCTCCTCCTCCCATGCCCGTCTCCAGGACTTCTCCAGAGCTTCTCCCATCCTCTGGAACTCTCTACCCCAATTTATCAGACTATTGCCTACTCTGCTCACTTTTAGGCGATCTCTGAAAACTGATCTCTTCAGGGAAGCCTATCCTGCCCTCAGCTAATACTGGAATCTTCTACTCTTCCAACCAGCCCCTCCCCCACAGTTATTACCTTTTGTACCACCAGCCCCTCCCTCCTAGATTGTAAGCTCCCAGGATCAGGCCCTCCCTCCTAGATTGTAAGCTCCCAGGATCAGGGCCCTCCTTTCCCTCTTGTATTGAACTGTATTGTTCTGTAATGTCTCCCGTTATATTGTAAAGCGCTGAGCAAACTGTTGGCGCCATAAATCCTGTATAATAATAATAATATATAAATCCTGTATAATAATAATAATATATAAATCCTGTATAATAATAATAATATATAAATCCTGTAATAATAATAATTAGCAGATTTATATACACTAACAAGCCAAACTCCAGCTCACACTTTATAACCAGTTACAGCTGCATTTTATTTCCTTTGGGGATAAAGGTTTTTCGCGAATAAATAAAAGCTGACCATTTTAAAGGTAAATGGTTTGTCTCATCCATGTAATTTGATACATTCTGCTGGAGAGCTTGTGAAAAACAACAGACTTGCTGGCTGGATCAGCAGATGAAAATCGAAGAAAGAAAACCTAAGAAAAGAAAACTAATGCAGCCATCTCATTTGCTTTTGGGCTTAATACCGCTTTAAAGCCCAACTCCAGGCAAATAAAAAACAAAAATGGCTCAGTTAGGTCTAGGGAAACAATAGAAGGAGATATACTTATCTGATCCTCCAATCAGGGCCGGGACAAGGGGTGGGCAGAAGGGGCGGGTGCCCTGGACACTGGTATCATGTGAGGTGAGGGGGGCACCAAGGAGAGTTCCTGATGCTACAGCAGCATCACTACTCCTGTCAGCTTAGCGTGGGTAGTGGCCAGCCATATCCCTAGAGGAGGAGAGAGCCGGGAGGAGGTGCTGGCTGTGCTCTCTCCTTTTTCTAGCTCTGCAGCACTCCTGGACACTGGTATCATGTGAGGTGAGGGGGGCACCAAGGAGAGTTCCTGATGCTACAGCAGCATCACTTCTCCTATCAGCTTAGCTGTGGGTAGTGACCAGCCAAATCCCTGGAGGAGGAGAGAGTCGGGAGGAGGTGCTGGCTGTGCTCTCTCTCTCCTCTATCTCCACATTCCTGCCGCTGCAGACATTTCATTTCTTTTGGGTTTAAAACCGCTTTAAAGCCCAACTCTATGCAAAAAAAAAAAATGGCTCAATTAGGTGTAGGGTAGGGATGGGCAACTGTGGCACTCCAGCTGTTGGTGAACTACAAGTCCCATCATGCCTCTGCCTTTGGGAGTCATGCTTGTAACTGTCAGTTTTGCAATGCCTCATGGGACTTGTAGTTCTACAACAGCTGGAGGGCCACAGTTGCCTACCCCTGGTCTAGGGGAACAATAGAAGGAGATATACTTATCTGATCCTCCACTCAGGGCCGGGACAAGGGGTGGGCAGAAGGGGCGGCTGCCCTGGACACTGGTATCATGTGAGGTGAGGGGGGCACCAGGGACAGTTCCTGATGCTACAGCAGCATCACTACTCCTGTCAGCTTAGCGTGGGTAGTGACCAGCCATATCCCTAGAGGAGGAGAGAGCCGGGAGGAGGTGCTGGCTGTGCTCTCTCCTTTTTCTAGCTCTGCAGCACTCCTGGACTGGAACTGTCAGACTCATGTTCTGGGAGGGGAAATTTCAGCGGGGGCAGGGGGGAATTGTACTGGGAGGAGAGGGAATTTGTCTTTGGGGAGAATCTTGGCTTGCAAAGGGAATTTATGCCTATTGGGTAAGCGTGCAGATTAGTGCTTGATTTTGTTTGGGGGAGGGGAATTTGCTGACACAATGTTCATACATCTTGAGGGGCAGCGCAGTTTGGCATCTATCACCCTGGGCACTAAATGACCACCCCCCCCTCCTCCCACAGCAAGACTGGTGCCCACAGCTTCGGCACCCCCGCAATCTAACAGTCTAGGGTCCCGATGTCATCAAGACCAGAGCAGGGTCCTCACAAGTCCTTCGACCCTCCTGCCACTTCTTCCAGGGGGGTGGTGACGCCCCCTGAGAATTGCCACCCCAGGCAAACGCCTAGTTTGCCTCACAGTAAATACACCACTGCTGGTGACAGGTACTCTTTATGGAGGGATCTGGTGTCTAAGAGACCCCAAATCCCTCCCCTGCCCTCAAAAGCATTCATGACGCCACGATCAGTGTTTTTGAAGGCTTTTGATTTTTTCTTTTTTGACATCCGGGTACACCAGGAGTGATGTCAGGTCATAGCTTCCGGGTTGCCATAGTGGAGACCCAATCAAAGCCGATCCTGGCTTTGTTTGGGTGTCTGACCAGCCGGCGGACGTGTCGGGACAGAAGACCCCGAGCGAGTGTCAGAAGGTGGTGGGAGGTGGGTGGACGTCCCCTCCTGCTGCTGTACAAACATTCCAGCGGCTAGTTAGCTTCTTGAATTGCTATTACAAGAGAGACAACCGGCGGCTCTAAACAACGGTCCCTGGGGTGATGCCTGCTCCGGTATAACGCTTGAAGTCAAGCGGCGTACCCCTTACGTTGATTGGCGGCAAGTGGAAGGGAAAGGAGTAGGATGGGGGGAGGGGGGAGAGGAAATTGTTAACCAGCTCCCAACCCCAGGAGCCCTTTCTTCATAAAGGTGGAGGCCAACCATGATGTTCCCAAGGAGGACCATAAATCATGGCGGAGTGAATCAAAGACACCCGTGATAGAGAGGAATAAAATTCCCAGTAAACAGCAGTAGATATAAAGTTTTGTGAGTTTGGACAACCTATCCTGGGAAATGGGGACAGGACAAGTGTAGGTAGGAAAGCCAGAGTCAGGCCAAACAAAAGGAATAGTCTGGGATGGGCATAAATTGGACCAGTGCATGGAACCAGTGTAGGTGGGACAAGGTGTAGATGGGGCAGCCAGAGTCAGGTCAAACAAATAGGACAGCCTGGGATGGGTATAAATGGAACCAGTGCATGGGCATGGAACCAGTGTAGGTGGGACAGCCAGGGTCAGGTCATACAAATAGAGCAGTCTGGGATTGTTGTACATGGAACCAGTGCATGGGCATGGAACCAGTGTAGGTGGGACAAGTATAGATGGGACACCCAGGGTCAGGTCATTCAAATAGGACAGTCCCTGGGATGGGTGTACATGGAACCAGTGCATGGGCATTGAACCAGTGTAGGTGGGACAGCGAGAGTCAGGTCATACAAATAGGACAGTCTGGGAAGGGTGTACATGGAACCAGTGTAGGTGGGACAAGGTGTACGTAGGACAGCCAGAGTCAGGTCAAACAAATAGGACAGTCTGGGAAGGGTGTACATGGAACCAGTGCATGGGCATGGAACCAGTGTAGGTGGGACAGCGAGAGTCAGGTCATACAGGACAGTCTGGGAAGGGTGTACATGGAACAGTCTGGGACAGCCAGGGTCAGGTCATACAAATAGGACAGTCTGGGAAGGGTGTACATGGAACCAGTGTAGGTGGGACAGCCAGGGTCAGGTCATACAAATAGGACAGTCAGGGTGTACATGGAACCAGTGTAGGTGGGACAGCCAGAGTCAGGTCATACTTAGGACAGTCTGGGAAGGGTGTACATGGAACCAGTGTAGGTGGGACAGTCAGGGTCAGCTCATACAGAGTAGTCTGGGGTTGGACGAGGAGGACCATAAATCATGGCGGAGGGAATAAGACACCCGTGATAGAGAAGAATAAAATTCCCGGTAAACAGCAGTAGATATAAAGTTTTGTGCATTTGGACAACCTATCCTGGGAAACGGGGATGAGCTCCTCAATTTCCTCGATTCGGAACCACTCCGATTGCCAGGACCTGTCTGGGATTCCAATGCCCCGGGACACATGATCTGGCTGCATTCCCCATAAACATGGCCAAGAATTTGGAATAAGTCCGGTGGGGCAGCTATGAGGTATGATGGAGACGGTATTGTGTGGGACTGACCGGGTTATATTTCATCTTCCTGGAGTTGGGCTGTAAAGGGAACTGCAGGACACAGACTAGAACGTGCCGCCCTCTGTAGGCTGCTCATCAACTCTTTTTTTTCCTTTTTCCTTTAGAGCCATCGAGGGACTTCCTACATAGGCCGCCGCCTGGCTACATGCCTGAGGAGATCTGGAGGAAGGCAGGTGAGTTATATCCTGGAGGCAGCCAAGACAAGTGAGATGGCCCACAGCATCAGGGGTGTCCATATTACATGACTCTCTAGGCCAGGGGGCTCCAGACTTTTCAAACAAAGGGCCAGTTTACTGTCCTTCAGACTTTGAGGAGGTCGAATTGTGGCCAGTGGAAATACATAGAAAGGAGAAAATACTCTGCTGTCAATGGGAGTATAAAATGCCCCATCAATGGTGTCAGTGGGAGGAATAGTGCCCCATCATTGGTGTCAGTGGGAGGAATAGTGCCCAATCATTGGTGTCCGTGGGAGGAGTAGTGCCCCATCATTGGTGTCAGTGGGAGGAAGTAGTGCCCCATCATTGGTGTCAGTGGGAGGAATAGTGCCCCATCATTGGTGTCAGTGGAAGGAATAGTGCCCCATCATTGGTGTCAGTGGGAGGAATAGTGCCCCATCATTGGTGTCAGTGGGAGGAATAGTGCCCCATCATTGGTGTCATGGGAAGAATAGTGCTCCATCATTGGTGTCAGTGGGAGGAATAGTGCCCCATCATTGGTGTCAGTGGGAGGAATAGTGCCCCATCATTGGTGTCAGTGGGAGGAATAGTGCCCCATCATTGGTGTCAGTGGGGGAATAGTGCCCCATCATTGGTGTCAGTGGGAGGAATAGTGTGCCCCATCATTGGTATCAGTGGGAGGAATAGTGCCCCATCATTGGTGTCAGTGGAGGAATAGTGCCCATCATTGGTGTCAGTGGGAGGAATAGTGCCCCATCATTGGTGTCAGTGGGAGGAATAGTGCCCCATCATTGGTGTCAGTGGGAGGAATAGTGCCCCATCATTGGTGTCAGTGGGAGGAATAGTGCTCCGTCATTGGTGTCAGTGGGAGGAATAGTGCCCCGTCATTGGTATCAGTGGGAGGAATAGTGCCCCGTCATTGGTGTCAGTGGGAGGAATAGTGCCCCATCATTGGTGTCAGTGGGAGGAATAGTGCCCCATCATTGGTGTCAGTGGGAGGAATAGTGCCCCATCATTGGTGTCAGTGGGAGGAATAGTGCCCCATCATTGGTGTCAGTGGGAGGAATAGTGCCCCATCATTGGTGTCAGTGGGAGGAATAGCGCCCCATCATTGGTGTCAGTGGAAGGAATAGCGCTCCATCATTGGTGTCAGTGGGAGGAATAGTGCCCCATCATTGGTGTCAGTGAGAGGAATAGTGCTCCATCATTGGTGTCAGTGGGAGGAATAGCGCCCCATCATTGGTGTCAGTGGGAGGAATAGTGCCCCATCATTGGTGTCAGTGAGAGGAATAGTGCTCCATCATTGGTGTCAGTGGGAGGAATAGTGCCCCATCATTGGTGTCAGTGGGAGGAATAGTGCCCCATCATTGGTGTCAGTGGGAGGAATAGTGCGCCATCATTGGTGTCAGTGGGAGGAATAGTGTCCCATCATTGGTGTATCAGTGGGAGGAATAGTGTCCCATCATTGGTGTCAGTGAGAGGAATAGTGCGCCATCATTGGTATCAGTGGGGGGAATAGTGCCCCATCATTGGTGTCAGTGGGAGGAATAGCGCTCCATCATTGGTGTCAGTGGAAGGAATAGCGCTCCATCATTGGTGTCAGTGGGAGGAATAATGCCCCATCATTGGTGTCAGTGGAAGGAATAGCGCTCCATCATTGGTATCAGTGGGAGGAATAGTGCCCCATCATTGGTATCAGTGGGAGGAATAATGCCCCATCATTGGTGTCAGTAGGAGGAATAGTGCCCCATCATTGGTGTCAGTGGGAGGAATAGTGCTCCATCATTGGTGTCAGTAGGAGGAATAGTGCCCCATCATTGGTGTCAGTGGGAGGAATAATGCCCCATCATTGGTGTCAGTAGGAGGAATAGTGCCCCATCATTGGTGTCAGTGGGAGGAATAATGCCCCAAGGGCCAGATAAAAGTGAGGAAAGGGCCACATTCGGCCCCTGTGTTGCAGTTTGGAGACCACTGCTCCAGACAGTGTCAGGGGTCCCACCATATAGTGCATATACTAGCGGTGCATCAAAATGAAAATTCTTCATTTGTCCGAATATCGGGGGAAAAAAAAAAATACAAAATATATATGGATTCTATTTGACTTTCTTAATTAATATCAGGAATTTAAATGAAAATGAATTTATTTTCAGCCAATCGGCTGGTTTCTTTGCAGCACTTTTGCATAAAAAAAAAATAAAAAAAAAAGAGAAATGCGTCCGTTTAAATGCGATGTGTCCTCACGCGGGTCCGTAGCGCTTCCCTTTTGGGAGCAGATTTGGCGAGTTACAAAAAAATAAAAACGCACCTCTCCATTGAGGCCTGGTTCACACCAATGCGTTTTTTAGGGCTTTTTGCAGAAACGCACGGCGGTCACACGATCATAAGCCCCGCCCCCCCGGCATCAGAAACCTCCTAAAGGACTGGGCAGCGCTGGAATTAAGGGGTTAATGACATTCGTTTACAATATGACTTGTGTAGCAATTGGATTGGATATTTTTTTTTCCCACAAAAGTGGAGTTGCCCTTTAACGTTTGTTAACAAATTTTCATAAAAAAAAAAATGCGATGGAATTCAGCTGCGTTCCGGTGCGTTTTTGATGCGTTTTATCAGTACAATTCTGTGCAGGAAAAATGCAGTCTATTTTTTTTTCTGCAACCGAAACGCACAGAAAGTCGGTGAGTTGCTTGTCAATGTCATAGTTCCCATCAGCACTTGCAGTTTCTGGTGTGTTTTTGATGCGTTTTCTGTACAGGAAAAATGCCGCCTGTTCTATTTTTTTTTCTGCATCCGGAACGCACCAGAACTGCCAGCCCTGATGTGAACGATGACATTGACAACCATCTCACTGGCTTTCTGTGTGTTTTGGATGCAGGGAAAAAAGACGTACAGAAACGCATGGAGTGTGAGCTGGCCCTAAATAGGGACATGTGCGTTCTAGTGCGTTTTTGATGCATTTTTACCAGTACAGTTCTGTTCAGGAAAAATGCCGCCTGTTCTACTTTTTTTTTTTTCTGCACCCGGAACGCACCGGAACTGCAAGCACTGATGTAAACGATGACATTGACAACCATATCACTGACTTTCTGTGCGTTTTGAATGCAGGGAAAAAAGCGCACAGAAACGCATGGAGCGTGATCCGACCCTTTAGAAACTCAGTCCATATGCGTTCCGGATGCTCGTTTTGGATACATTGTTGATGCTTTTCGGTTCATTTTTCTCCTCTCTTTTTCTCCAATGTAAATAGGGACATGTGCGTTCCGGTGCATCTTTGGTACGTTTTTGGTGCGTCCCGGTGCGTTTTTGATGCGTTTTACCGCGTTCCAGTACAGTTCTGTGCAGGAAAAATGCCGCCTGTTCTACTTTTTTTTTTTCCTGCACCCGGAACGCACTGGAACTGCCAGCACTGATGTGAACGATGACATTGACAACCAGATCACCGACTTTCTGTGCGTTTTGGATGCAGGGAAAAAAGCGCACAGAAACGCATGGAGCGTGATCCGGCCATAAATGTATTTTGAAATGTTCCTAGTGTAAGAACTATAATAGATCCCAATCACAGTCTGCTGTAATCCTCTGTACAGCAGCACTCAGACTGGGAAGGGGGAGCATTACCAGGAGCCAATCAGGTACACTGTATTGCCTGTGTGCTGACTGGTGATTGGCCGTGTTGCTCTGATGTCACAGCGAGGGTTGTACTGTGTACTGTGAATACAAGGATGTGTTGTATTATGGGATGGATGTACTAAAGGCCAATAGACGGCGCACTTTGGAAGTGCAGCAGCTCCAGAGCTCAGTAAATAAGGGGATGCTCTGCTGACTTCCATCCAGGGGCGGACTGACAACTCATGGGGCCCCCGGGCAATAGGGGATCATGGGGCCCCCGGGCAATGGGGGATCATGGGGCCCCTGTGTCCTTGCCCACACTCAAAGCACACCCAAAAAAGCCTATAAAAGGTACCAGTGGCATTTGATGGGGCCCCCCACTGACCCCGGGCCCTCGGGCAGTGCCCGAGTGCTCAAATGGTCAATCCGCCCCTGCTTCCATCGTCCAATCCTGTGCAAGGAAAATGCAGCTTTTTCTCATTTTTCCTCGCATCCGATTGGATATTCTTTGCTTCCCCGCATTCGCGAAGCTCTGGAGCATCTGCACTTGCAAAGTGCGCCGTCTGTTTGCCTTCAGTAAATCCCCCACTTTCTGCAGCTTGGCTAACACTGTGTGATGGGCAACCGGTAGATCTCTGTTTGTTGTACAACTACAAGTCTCAGCATGCCCTGCCTGCCAAGGTGTGTATGGAGTCACACGGGGACCGCGCGGTCGCACAGCGGCCAATAGATCTGCCCGTTGCCCGTCACATTCGCTGCAGCGTAGGGTATAGACCTGAATCATTAAACCCCTCCTACACCTGAGTCCCCCCTCCCAGGGCTCATCTTCACCTCTGAGCTGTCTCTCTGCCCGCACAGAGGAGGCGGTGAACGAAGTCAAGCGGCAGGCCATGTCCGAACTGCAGAAGGCCGTGTCGGAAGCGGAGCGCAAGGCTCACGACCTCATCACTTTAGAGAGAGCCAAAATGGAGCGAGCGCTGGCGGAGGCGAAGCGGCAAGCATCCGAGGACGCAGTCTCCGTCATCAACCAGCAGGAGGACTCAAGTGAGGTAACGCCCATGAGGAGCTGAGTAGGAGGCAAGAGATTCTTTGAGAAGGACTAGCTATTGGGCTTCGTACAGGCGGGCTTCAGCTTGTAGGACAGGAGTGTGAAGGGCGAGCATTTACATGGCATTTCCAAAGCTTCCAGAAAACTTTGAGAACATTTCACTCCAGTCTGGGGATGTTAAAAACGGATTGAAATAGGCAGGTTTTCTTTTATCTCAGCAGTAGGCGCAGGTACTACCTTCTTCCAGGTCAACCCTTGTCTCTGCTCCCTGCCCACCTCTGAGCACCGTCCCTTGGTTCCACCCCCTATGCACCTCTGGGGACCGTCCCTTGGTTCCTCCCCCTATCCACCTCTGAGCACCGTCCCTTGGTTCCACCTTCTACCCACCTCCGGGCACTGTCCCTTGGTTCCACCTCTGAGCACCGTCCCTTGGTTCCACCTCCTACCCAGCTCTGAGCACTGTCCCTTGGTTCCACCCCCTACCCACCTGCAAGCACCGTCCCTTGGTTCCACCTCCTACCCACCTCTGAGCACAGTCCCTTGGTTCCACCTCCTACCCACCTCCAAGCACCGTCCCTTGGTTCCAAGCACCTTGTTCCACCTCCTAGCACCTTGGTTCCACCTACCCACCTCCAAACCGTCCCTTGGTTCCACCACCTCCAAGTCCCTTGGTTCCACCTCCCTACCCACCCCCCAGCAGCACTGTCCCATGGTTCCACCTCCTACCCACCTCCAAGCACCGTCCCTTGGGTCCACCTCCTACCCACCTCTGAGCATCATCCCTTGGTCCCACCTCCAAGCACCGTCCCTTGGTTCCACCCCCTACGCACCTCCGAACACCGTCCCTTGGTTCCACCTTCTACTCACCTCCGAGCACCGTCCCTTGGTTCCACCTCCTACCCACCCCCCAGCACCGTCCCTTGGTTCCACCTCCAAGCACTGTCCCTTGGTTCCACCCCCAACCCACCTCAAGCAAGCACCGTCCCTTGGTTCCACCTTCTACCCACCTCTGAGCACCGTCCCTTGGTTCCACCTTCTACCCACCTCCAAGCACTGTCCCTTGGTTCCACCTTCTACCCACCTCTGAGCACCGTCCCTTGGTCCAACCTTCAAGCACCGTCTCTTGGTTCCACCCCCTACCCACCTCCGAGCACCGTCCCTTAGTTCCACCTTCTACCCACCTCTGAGCACTGTCCCATGGTTCCACCTTCTACTCCCCTCCGAGCACCGTCCCTTGGCTCCTCTGGGTACACCATTTTAATCTGCAGCCAGTTAGGAACAAAAGTGGCTATTTACAGCAATGATTGTTAATGGGGAACTTCACTTTGTTTTTGTTTTCTTCAAGTCAGCAGCTACAAATAACTAGAGCTGCTGACTTTTAAAAAGTCAGTGACTGGGGATTAGTATTGTCTTCCTCAGGGATTTTTTCAGTGGGAACGCAGTTCCGGCACCTCCAGCACTGAATGTATGTAGCGGCAAGGGATGCTGGGGTGTGCTGGAGGTATTGAATTATATTTTGAAATATATTGAATATGGCCAAAATTGTAGCTTTCCAAAAAATATGTCAATATATTCAGGAGGAATATTTTTCAAATATATTAAAATATATTATATATAATATATTTGAAAAATATTCTTCCTGAATATATTGACATATTTTTAAAAAGCTACAATTTTGGCCATATTGAATATATTTCAAAAATATATATATATACACTGTATGTTGAATTGAATTTTTGTTACAAAAGATATAAAAAATAGTTCTAAAAATACATTTCAAATATACTGTATGTTTCTTAAAATACAAAATCTACATTTTTGGAATGCATTTACAAATATATGTAAAAATAAATGGTAAAATATATTTTATATACCATTTATTTTTACATATATTTGTAAATGCATTCCAAAAATGTAGATTTTGTATTTTTAAAGACATACAGTATATTTGAAATGTATTTTTAGAACAATTTTTTATATCTTTTGTAACAAAAATGCAATTTAACATACAGTTTATATATATATATTTTTAAATATATTGAATACGGCCAAATATATGTCAATTTATTTGGGAAGAATATTTTTTAAATATATTTTTCTCCCATGTGGGTGGTGGCCGGACCTGATTATTGGGCTGAGGCCTTCCTATAGGTGAGTCTGTCACTCTCTCTGCCTCGGGAATCTGCTGCTGAGCAAAGCTGAATGCTGACCAAACACTAAAGGTCTGCACGTGTATTTGGTCAGTTTTGGAGACCCCGTTAGGGGACAATGTATCATTTTGTAACTTCCAATAACAGGAGCCAAACGTTTTTTCTGCTTCTGCTGATTGCGTCAAATTTTTCTCTATTTTTTCTTCTTTTTTTTTTTTTTGTAGAGTTGTTGGAACTGCGGCCGGAAAGCAAGTGAGACCTGCAGCGGCTGCAACACAGCACGATACTGCGGCTCCTTCTGCCAACACAAGGACTGGGAGAAACATCATCACGTATGCGGCCAATCCATGCACCACCCTCCCAGTGCACCACCAGCGCCAACCACCCTGCCACGCCCGCAGCCAGCCCCACCGCAAGCAGCTCTGCCTCTCGATCTGGGACCCCCGCCACGCCTCTTCTGTTAGACACGGCTTCCCGCTAAACTGGGACCTCCCGCGATACATATCCCAGGACGGAGACCGACCACTTGGACACACAGCGACCTGCACTGGTCAGCCTTGCTGCTGGTATATAGTAGTGCCCGTCAAGACTTTACCTGACCCCTCCCCCCCGCCCGACTACCCCCTCTACTTGGGTGGGCTAGGACCTGCATGTCCGTGTGGTTTGGTTTTGGCCCATATGAAGCCCATCTCGCCTCTTAATGTAGGAATGGATATCCCATGGAGGGGATGCAGAAGATCGCGGATTGGGGGATTTTTTTTTTTGTTTTTTGGGTTTTTTTTATTTTTGTTATTTTTAAGAACTGCTTTCAAATCTTTGGCTTTAAATGAAATTGAAATCCAAAAAAACAAAAAACCATAAACCAGAAATACAAATGAAACTACCTTGCTAGACAGCCAAGAAATGTCCGACACCAAGAACACCTCTTAAAGAGAAATCCAAAAATCACGACACCCTACCCCAAAACTTTTTGGGGGTTTTTGTTTTTGCCAGCCCTGCCAAAGCCCGGTCCGCCATGGCGGGAGGAGTGGGAGGGAAATTCCTGGAGTGGAAACGGCGAAGTGTTCCGGGAGTTCCGCTGGGCGCTCGGCAAGAGGAAGGAGTGCTCCAAAGAGGCACCACCAGTGCTGCACTTCCAGATCGATCTCCTCCTACCTACCTCTCCTGTAGCAGACGCCTCTTGTGTTGCTCGGCTTTTCAGGACCCCAACGCGCCCCCCCCCCCCTCCTCCACTTCTTGGATTAAAAGAAAATTTAAAAAAGGCAACAAAGACACAACTTCCGTCCCGATCGGAAAGACGATGACATTTGTATGTATAGGTGTCTTCGCTCCAACCAACCTCTGCTGCTCGCCCCGACGGCCTGCAGAAACACCCCAAATATTTCATGGACGGTCGTGGACAAGGCACCCTTTGGGGGGGGGAGGGGGGGGTGGGGTGGGGGGGAACTGGTGGGAGGTGAATCCAGGGCTCCTCCTGGCTCACAGACTTCAGCCCACGTTTGGCGAGATTGTACAGTTTTTTTTTTTCTTTTTCTTTTCTATTTATAAAAGCAAAATGAAGAATTCCCATGTAGGGGACACGAGTGCAATATGAAAAGTGCGAGGCTACTGATGGATCCGGGGAGTTCACTGCAAAATTTATGTAAGACGCAAAACGACCACGAAAAATGAAGCGGGGGTGGGCGGGGGGGAGGGATGGCGCCACGCAGAGAGGAACGGTGGCAGAAATACGAGATTGGAGCTCTTATTATAGAGCGCAATAGGCTGAGACGTACGGTGAGCTGGAGCAGCCAATCGTAGGCCGCATGGATTAGCCGGCCCCCCTCTAAGACTTGAAAGCTGATTGGTTGCTCTTGGTTACTTTGTGCCGTCCTCTTTGTACTGTAGAAGGAAAATGTGATTAGTTGCCGTGCTTAATACAGTTCTATCTTCAGACACTTTCTTATAAATGGCCCCTTTTTGTTTGATAAGCCATTCATTAGATGAGCCCATTCATTAAAATAGCCCATTCATTAGATGAGTACATTCAATAAAATAGCCCATTCATTACATGAGCCCATTTGTTAGATGAGCCCATTCGTTAGATGAGCCCATTCATTACATGAGCCCATTCATTGGATGAGCCCATTCATTACATGAGCCCGTTTCTTAGATGAGGCCATTTATTAGATGAGCCCGTTCATTGGATGAGCCCGTTCATTGGATGAGCCCATTCATTAGATTAGCCCGTTTATTACATGAGCACGTTTATTGGTTTATTGGATGAGATCTCCCGTTCATTAGATGAGTCCATTTATTAGATGATCTCGTTCATTAGATGAGCCCGTTCATTAGATGAGTCCATTTATTAGATGATCTCGTTTATTAGATGAGCCCGTTCATTAGATGATCCAGTTCATTAGATGAGTCCATTTATTAGATGAGCCCGTTCATTAGATGAGTCCATTTATTAGAGAGATGAGCCCGTTCATTAGATGAGTCCATTTGTTACATAAACCCGTTCATTACATGAGCCCATTCATTAGATGATCCAGTTCATTAGATGAGCCCATTCATTAAATGAGCCCATTTGTTACATAAACCCGTTCATTAGATGAGCCCATTTATTAGATGATCCCATTCATTAAATGAGCCCATTCGTTACATGAGCCCATTCATTCGATGATCCCATTCATTAGATGATCCCATTCATTAGATGATCCCGTTCATTGGATGAGTCCATTCATTAGATGATCCCGTTCATTAGATGATCCCATTCATTAGATGATCCCATTTATTGTCCAAAAGATATAGAGGGAGAATACCCATTGCCATGGAGGGGGGAGCCCAGCATAGTTCCCATGGGTGGTC